TAAATATATTAAATCTAAAATACTCGATTATTATATTCTTAAAAATAAATATAATAATATTATATATTATATATTATATAAGTAAAGACTTATAAATTAAATTTATAAAGTTGAATTTTTCTAAGTTAAATCGAATTTTAGCTTTAGTTCTAAGTTAAATCGAACTCTAATCGCTTACTATACGTTTTTAATTTATATATAAATATATATATATATCGAAGAGAGACGCGCTAAGATTTAATTAGAAAGGTATATCGAGTATAAAGAATTAATTCATAATAATTATCTATAAAAAATAGAGAAAGACTATATTCTTATAATAAGAAGTATCGAAATATTAAAAAGAAATAGAGATAACGTGTTAATTAGTAGTGTGAATTTCATAATATCTTCTATTATAGTAAAATTTTTCGAATAATAAAATAGCTATTAGAGTAAGACATCGAACGATTTTAATTTATTTAAATATATATTATTCGATATTTTTTCTATAGAGACTTAATTAACTATAATCGTCGTAGTAGATTCTTCTCTTATAATATTATTATAGTAATATACTATATTAATATAATAAGAATAATAGAATTAAGTTATAATAGTATTCTTTACTTATTAAATAATAATTTAATATAAAATTATAAAGAGTATATAACGTGAAATCTTAAAGAGCTAAGTCGTATTCTTAATAATAATAACTTTATTATCGCTTAATTTCTTTATAATATTCTTCGTAATATTCTTTATATTTATCTATTATAATTTCTTCTCTTACTTCTTAATTTTGTAAGAATAATAGATAAGTTATAGATAATATTCTATTAGCTTACTAAGTAATTAATTTAATATAAATAATTAAGAGTATATAATATAGAATCTTAAAGAGCTAAGCTATATTCTTAATGATAATAGTCTTATTATCGCTTAATTTCTTCGTAATATTCTTCGTATTCGCTTACTATATTAACTTCTCTTATATTAACTAAGTAAATTAATATAAGATTATAAAGAGTAGATCTATTATATTATTACTACTAATAATTATCTTTATAATATTCTTTATAGTATTCTTTATATTCGTTTATTATAGATTCTTCTCTTATTTAACTAAGTGCGAGTATATCGAGAATAAATATATTTATATTAGTAAAATTAATAGAATTAATAAAATAGTAAAAGAAGAATAATTATATAAATAAGTGAAAGGATTATTATTCGATTTCGAACGCGTTTAATATAATTATTATATTTTTAAAAGCTTCTTCTTAACGATATTTAGAATTTAATACGTATTAAGAGATTTTAAAATAGAGTAATAAAGAATAGATAGAGGAGAAAGACGCGTTTTAAGAGATAGTATTACTAAGTTAAAAGATATTATCACTAACTTAAAAGAAGTATATAGAAGAGAATATATTCGTTTAGACTCTTTTAAGAGTCTTTTAACGCGTTTATAAGTAGTAGTAAATAGCTATTAAGCTCGCTTACGATCTCGATTACTAGTAGTAATAAATTTATTAAAAGATAATCTAGAGATATTAGTAGAGAGCTTTAAGAGGCGAATAAAAGAGATATATATATCTAAAACGTTAAGTAATCTTTAGACGAGAGATATCGAAGACGATTATATTTATATTAATGAAATTAATAGAATTAATAGAATAATAAAAGAAAGAAGAATAATTATATAAATAGATAAAAGAATTATTATTTGATCTCGAACGCGTCTAATATAACTATTATAACTATTATATTTAAATATTTATTTAATTTATTAATAGTAAATTAAACTTTATAATTTTTATAGCGTTAGAAAGCGTAAAGCGAGCTCTATAATTTAAGAAATTATAAAGTAATTATATATATTATAAGCTAAGTACTTTAAAGTATAAAACTTCTATATATAAATTTTTAATAAGAGAGCTTAAGAGAATTATTACATTAACTTAGTCGATTTAATTAAAAGAGCGTAATAACCTCGAATTTATAATTAACTATATATATAAATTTAAGATTTTCTAACTTAGCTCTATCTTATTCTTTTATATATATTAATATTCTTTCGAAGCTTCTAGTCTAATTTAAATAATCTATATACTCTATTATTAAGTTATATTTAATTCTTAATTTAATTAGTCTTTAATATAATAATTAATAAATTTTAAAATTAATTATTATAGTAGATTAATAATTTATATTTATATTTCGAGATTTTTATTTATAGCGAATTATATATAACTTTAAATTAAGTTATTAATAAGATTAATCTAATAATTATAATTTTAGTATAATCTATTAAAAAGATAATTTACTAGATTAATAAGATATATTAAAAATAAAATTATTAAGTAGATACTTCTTTTTTAGATAAAAATATAATTAATTAGCGATTTATAGTAATAGAAGTAAGCTATTTACTTAATATAGAAAATAAGTAAAATTTAATTTAATTTAGAGTTAAAGCTTTTATCTTCTTTATTAATTTTATAATAGTAAAAAGTAGATTAAAAACGTATAGTAAGCGATTAGAGTTTATCTTTAACTTAGAACTAAAGCTAAAATTTCATTTAACTTAGAAAAATTTAACTCTATAATTTAATTTATAGATTTTTACTTATTATTAATATATATAAAAGAATAAGATAGAATTAAGCTTAAAAATCGTAAATTTATATATATAATTAATTATTAATTTAAGTTCTCTACGCTTTTTAATTAGATTAACTAACTTATCGTAGATAAATAAATTAACGTTTATAAATATTAAAATATTATTCATTCTAAACTTTTCTTAATCTAAAAAATAAATATATATTTTATTAATATATAGAATTACTTTATGAGTTATTTTCTAAACTTATTAGATTTTACTTAGATTTTTTTAAAATTTTTAAGCGCTAAAAATTATACTTTTCGACACCTTTTTTTAAGTATTTTAAAATTTAACTCTTAATAATTATTAAAACGTAAGAAATTCAAATATTTCTTATATTAAGAATATTTTCGCTTCATTAAAAAGTAAATTTATCTATTACTTACTATATAAACTACTAATTATTAAAAATTATAAATTAAATTTAATTTATAAATCTACTAGCCGAAAAGATATAAGATATTTTATAGAATATTTTATATTAAGTAATATTATATCGTATACTCGAGTATAATATAAATAGAGTCGAATATTATATTATTTTTCTAATATAAATTCGAGATCTTAACGAAATATTTTACGATATAATATATCTATAATATTATATTATAAAATAATATATATATAAGATATTTCTATTAAGATTTCTATATTTAGAAGTATAAGTAGCTATTCTAATTATTATTCTAGTTAATTATAACTATTACTATTATCTATTATAACTATTACTATTATAACTATTACTATTATAACTATTATCTATTATAACTATCTCTATTATAACTATCTCTATTATAACTATCTCTATTATAACTATCTCCTATTATAACTATTTCTATTATAGCTATCTATTATAATATACTATTATTATATAATAATAAACTATTATTATTATATATTATAATAATAGTAGCTATTATATAATAATAAATTATTTTAATAATAAATAGTAATAGTTATAATAGTAATAGCTATAATAGTAATAGCTATTAAAATATTAGATATATAATATATAGAACGAACGAATTAATTCTTTAGAACCTCTTCGAGACTAGATTTTAAATATAGTATAAAATTAGATAGCTAAAAAATATAATAGCTAAAATACGCGAGGATAGTTATATTTCGATAATAGATATAATAGTAATAGATATAATAGTAATAGATATAATAGTAAGATAGATATAGTAGATTAATAGTAGTTATAATAGAAGTAGTTATAATAAATAGCTATAATAGTAATAGCTATAATAGTAGATAGCTATTATATCGAATTTATCGAATAAATATATTTAAATATAGAAATTTTAGTCGAAATATCTTATATATATATTATTTTATAATATAATATTATAGATATATTATATCGTAGAATATTTCGCTAAGATCTTATATTATATTAGATATAAGATTATATAAATCTTAATAATCTATATTATATTAGATTATAATATAATAAATTAATATTCTATATTATATTATATCTTTTCGACTAAAAAATTTTTTTTTTTTTTTATAAAAAAAAATTAAAAAAAAAAAAAAAAAAAAAAAAAAGAGAGAGCTAAATTAGAAAATCTTAAATTTATATATATAGCTAATTATAAATTCGAGTTCTCTACGCTTTTTAACTAGATCGACTAAGTTATTATAAGTAAATAAATTAGCATTCGTAACTATTAAAATCTTATCCTTTCGCGTCTCTTTTATTAAAAAAAAAGATATATATTATTTATAATAGAAATAACTTTTTTATTTTCTATTAAAATTTTAAGATTTTTTTTAAATCATAGAGCGCTATTTACGCTTTTTATATTATTAAGAATTTTAAAATTTAATCTTATAATTATTAATAAGTAAGAGATTTAAATATCGCTTATTAAAGTTTACTCGATAGCTCTAATTAAAAAATAGATATATATTATTTAATTTTAGAATAACTTTTTATTTTCTATTAAACTTTTAAGATTTCTTTTTTAAATTATAGAACGTAATATAGGCTTTTAGATAAAAAACGAATTAATAAATTTAGTCTTATAAATATCTAAAGATAAGAAATTCAGATATCGATTACTAAAGATCGCTTATTAAAAATTTTACTGGCCGGAAAGGTATGGTATATTCCATGGGATATTCCATACCAAGTGATACCATACCGTACCCGGGTATGGTATGAGTAGGGTCGGATACCATTCCATTTTTCTGGTATGGGTTCGGGATCTTGGCGGGATATCCCACGGTATGGTATATCTGTGGGATCATATCATGGTATGGGATATGTATGGGATATCCCGGTTGGGATTTCTATATTTAGAAGTATAAGTAGCTATTCTAGTCATCATTCTGGCCAACCATGGCTACTATTACCATGACTACCACTCCCATAACTGCCACTACCATGGCTACCACTCCCATGACTGCCACTACCATGGCTGCCACTACCATAACTGTCACTACCATGGCTACCTACCATGGCTGCCACTACCATGGCTACCTATCATGGCTGCCCCCCACCATGGCTACCCCTACCATGGCTACCTATCTAACCCTAACCCATGGTAGTGGCAGCTATGGTAGTGATAGTTATAGGAGTGATAGCCATGGTAGTAGTAGCCATGGTTGGCCAGAATGATGACCAGAATAGCTACTTATACTTCTAAATATAGAAATCCCAACCGGGATATCCCATACATATCCCATACCATGGTATGATCCCACAGATATACCATACCGTGGGGATATCCCGCCAAGATCCCATACTATACCAGGTATGGGATCATGCAAATCTCAATAACCCATACCATGCCAGAGTATGGTATGGCAGGTCAATATCCCATACCATACCATATCTTTCCGGCCAGTAATTAAAATTTACTCGATAGCTCTAATAAAAAAAATAGTTATAAATTTAATTTATAAATCTTTACTCGTATATTATATTATAATATATCTCGCTAAGATCTTATATTATATTAGATATAAAATTATATAAATATTAATATTTTATATTATATTATATTAGAGTATAATATAATAAGTTAATATCTTATATTATATTATATCTTTTTAATTAATATTAATATATTATATATCTAATATTTTAATAGCTATTATTATTATAATTATTATTATTATAGCTATTATTATTATAATTATTACTATTATAACTATTATTATTATTAGTATATATAATAAAATAAAATAAAATTAAGTTTAAAAATTTTAAATTTATATATATAGCTAATTATTAATTTAGAGTTATTACGCTCTTTAATTAAATCGACTAAGTTAGCTCGCTAGCCCTTTTAAGCTCTCTTATTAAAAATTTATATATAGAAGTTTTATACTTTAAAGTACTTAGCTTACGATATATATAGTTACTATATAATTTCTTAAATTATAAAGCTCGCTTTACGCTTTCTAACGCTATAAAAATTATAAAGTTTAATCTACTATTAATAAAGCGAAGTAATATTTAAATATAGTTATACGAAACGCGTTCGAAATTAAATAATTCTTTTATCTATTTATATAATTATTATTCTTTTATTATTCTATTAATTTATTAATATAAATATATTTATTCTTAATACCCCTCGCGGAAATATTACTAAACGCTTTAGATATATATATCTCTTTTATTTATCTCTTAGAGTCTCTATTAACGCCTTTAAACTATCTCTTAGCGAATTCGCTATTACTAGTAATCGAGACTCTCGATTACTAGTAATAAACTCTATTAATTAAAAAGATATAATATAATATAAGATATTAGTTTATTATATTATACTCTAATATAATATAAGTTATTAAGATTTATATAATCTTATATCTAATATAATATAAAATCTTAGCGAGATATCTTATAATATAATATATTAATATATATAAAAGAATAAAATAGAATTAAATTAGAAAATCTTAAATTTATATATATAGTCAATTATTAATTTATTAGATCTACGCTTTTTAATTAGATATCGCGAGTAAATAAATTAGCGTTCGTAACCATTAAAATCTCGCCCTCCCGCGCCCCCCCTTATTAAAAAATAGATATACATTATTCACAATAGTTAAAACTTTTTTAATTTTCTATTAAAATTTTGAAATTTTTTGATTTAAATTTTGAAGCGCTATTTGCGCTTTTCGAATTTTTAAGAATTTTAAAAATCTGTCTTATAATCATTAAAGCGTAAGGAATTCAAATATCGCTTATCAAAGTTCGCATATCAAAGATCGCTTACCTATTTACTCGATAGCTCTAATTAAAAAAATGATTATAAATTTAATTCATAGATCTTTACTCGTCTATAATATTATATTATAAAATAATATATATATAAGATATTTCGACTAAAATTTCTATATTTAAATATATTTATTCGATAAATTCGATATAATAGCTATTACTATTATAACTATTATTACTATAACTATTTATTATAATTATTTCTATTATAACTATTACTATTAATATCTACTACTATTATATCTATTATTATTATATCTATTATCGAAATATAACTCTCGTATATTCTAGCTATTATATTTTTTAGCTATCTAATTTTATACTATATTTAAAATCTAGTCTCGAAGAGATTCTAGAGAATTAATTTATTCGTTCTATATATTATATATCTAATATTCTAATAACTAATACTATTATAGCTACTACTATTATAGTTACTATTATTTATTATTAAAATAATCTATTATTATATAATAGCTATAATAGTAATAGTTATAATAGTAATAGCTATAGTAATAATAGCTATAATAGAGATAGTTATAATAGAGATAATTATAATAAAAGTAGTTATAATAGAGATAGTTATAATAGAGATAATTATAATAATAATAGTTATAATAATAATAGCTATAATAATAATAGTTATAATAGATAATAGTAATAGTTATAATTAACTAGAATAATAATTAAAATAGCTACTTATACTTCTAAATATAGAAATCTTAATAGAAATATCTTATATATATATTATTTTATAGTATAATATTATAGATATAATATATCGTAAGATATCTCGCTAAGATCTCGAACTTATATTAGAAAAATAATATAATATTTAACTCTATTTATACTATACTCGAATACGATATAATATTACTTAGTATAAAATATTTTATAAAATATTCTATATCTTTTTAACTAGTAATCGAGATTATAATAAGATTTAATAGCTATCTACTAGAGAGAAGAAGTAAGAGAAGAAATTATAATAAATAAATACGAAGAATACTACGAAGAAATTAAGCGGTAATAAGATTATTATCGTTAAGAATACGACTTAGCTCTCTAAGATTTTATATTATATTAGTTATTTTACTTAATTAATTACTTAACTAGTTACTTAATTTAATATTCTATAAGAGAAGAAGTAAGAGAAGAAATTATAATAGATAAATGCGAAGAATACTATAGAGAAACTAAGCGATAATAAGACTATTATCGTTAAGAATATAACTTAGCTCTTTAAGATTTTATATTATATTAATTATTTACTTAGTTAATTACTTAGCTAACTACTTAATTTAATTAGTATATATAATAGAATAAGATAGAGCTAAACTAGAAAATCTTGAATTTATATATATAGCCAGTTATTAATTTATTAGGTCTACGCTTTTTAATTAGATATCGCGGATAAACAAATTAACGTTCGCAACTATTAAAAAAATAGGTATACATTATTAACATATAGAAAAGCTTTTTTATTTTCTATTAACTTTTTAAGATTTTAGATTTCAAATTTTGGAGCGCAGTCTGCGCTTTCCGAATTTTTAAGAATTTTGAAATTTGGTCTTATAATTATTAAAGCGCAAGGAATTCAAATATCGCTCACCAGAGTTCGCTCGACAGCCGGACAGCCCTGATCAAAAACAAACAGGTACACATTATTTAATTTTAGAATAACTTTTTTGTTTTCTATTAAAATTTTAGAATTTTTTATTTAAACTATAGAGTATAATGTAGGCTTTCAGATAAAAAAGAATTACTAAATTTAGTCTTATAGATATTTAAAGATAAGGAATTCAGATATCGCTCACCAAAATTTACTCGACAGCCCCGATTAAAAAAAAAGATTATGAATTTAATTTATAGACCTTTACTCGTACTCTATAAGAGAAGAAGTAAAAGAAGAAATTATAATAGATAAATACGAAGAATGTTATAAAGAATACTACGGAGAAATTAAGCGATAATAAGATTATTATTATTAAGAATACGACTTAACTCTTTAAGATCTCACATTATATACTCTTTATAATTTTATATTAAATTATTATTTAATAAGCGAAGAATACTACTATAATTTAATTTATTATCTCTATTATATTAATATAATATATTACTATAATAATATTATAAGAGAAGAATCTATTACGATAATTATAGTTAATTAAGTCTCTATAAAAGAAATATCGAATAATATATATTTAGACGAATTAAAATCGTTCGATATCTTACTCTAATAGCTATTTTATTATTCGAAAGATTTTACTACGATAGAAGATAATATAAAATTTATACTATTAATTAATATATTATCTTTATTTCTTTTCGATATTTTAATATTTCTTATTATAAGAATATAATCTTTCTCTATTTTTTATAGATAATTATTACGAATTAATTCTTTATACTTAATATATCTTTCTAATTAAATCTTAGCGCGTCTCTCTTTATATATATATATTTATATATAGATTAAAAACGTATAGTAAGCGATTAGAGTTCGATTTAACTTAGAGCTAGAGCTAAAATTCGATTTAACTTAGAAAGATTTAACTTTATAAATTTAATTCATAGATTTTTACTTATAACTATTACTATTATAACTATTATTATTATTAATATATATAATAGAATAAGATAGAGTTAAGCTTAAAAATCTTAAATTTATATATATAATTAATTATAAATTTAGAATTACTACGCTCTTTGATTAGATCGATTAAATTATCGCGAGTAAATAAATTAGCGTTCGCAACTATTAAAATCTCGCCCTCCCGCGTCTCTCTTATTGAAAATAGATATACGTTATTTACGAATAGAATAACCTTTTTATTTTCTATTAAAATTTTAAGATTTTTTTTTTTATTATTAAGCGTCGTTTGCGCTTTTCAAATTTTTAAGATTTTTGAAATTTGATCCTATAGTTATTAATAAGCAAGAAGTTTAATTATCGCTTATTAAAGTTCGCTCGATAGCCGAATAGCTCGCTTATTAAAGATCGCTTATTAAAGATTACTTATCTATTTACTCAATAGCTCTAATTAAAAAAATACTTATAAATTTAATTTATAGATCTTTACTCGTAATTATTATATAATAATAAATTATTTAAATAATAAATAATAATAGTTATAATAATAATAGCTATAATAGTAATAGCTATAATAATAATAGCTATAATAATAATAGTTAAAATAGTAATAGCTATTAAAATATTAGATATATAATATTTATATAGTTTTATATCTAATATAATATAAAATCTTAATAGAATATATTATAATATAATATATATATAAGATATTTTAATTAAAATTTCTATATTTAGAAGTAATTATTCTAATTATTATTATAATTAATAATTATATTAAATTAAT